TTTTTTTTTTTTTTTTTTTAATTTTTTTTTTTTATAAATTTTCTGTTTACTTGACAATTATGTTACTTCGAGTCTTGGATGATATCTTGTGAGGGTTGCACATGCTCAGAGAGATTGAGCACAGGCGATTGGATGGTAGGAGCTTCTCTAGAATAGATCGGATCGAAGGAAATAATCTTTTTTAAAGGATTTTTTTTGAAGTTTATAAAAACATGATTATTTTTTTTAAAATAAGTTGAATCAAACATTCATAAGAAATTTTATAATTAAAATGATCAATGACAATATGGCATTGACAGTAAGCAAGCAATATGAATATTTTCTAGAACCTAATATTCAACTAAGTGACACCTAGTGTTACATTTTCTTGATGTAACTTAGACGGGTATTTAGTGGAAAGTTAAAATTAATTTATTCACAGGCTAGAATTTCTTATGTTTCTTTAAAAGTTAAGTTTTAATTGTGGAAAAGTTAATTTTAAAATATAGATTTTTTTTAAAATTTTTTAAAAGTGTTTATGGAGAAAATTATTCAGCTATTAGCTGATAGAAAGAAAGGAGAAATCAGTATAATACATAAAAGGGTAAAGGATTTGAGAATATTAGTGTGGGTCGGGTGAAGAGTATAATTTCCAAATACTTGTCTTGGTAATGCCAGTGGCTGTTGTTTCCAAGCTTCTAGTAATCATGTTTGGCAGTTAGTAGTACAAGTATTGAATACCTGGTAACTTGGGTTCATATGCTCCAATTGAAAGCTAGATAATGATTTAAGAGGGAGAAAAGCTTCGATGAATAAAGAGCAACGATTCAAAAGGAAGTTGAGTCAATATGTTAGATTTGTATGTTTCCAACATTAAGGGAGTTCTAATAAGGAAGACAAATTCTTATACCAGTTATATATAAATGCTCCAAATGAGTTAAAGGCATGTTAGAATTTAGAAGCATGATTGATCAATCAGTTCCAGTTATACAAATCTTGAAAGAAAAAAAAAAAAGAAAAGGAAAAGGGCAACTGATATATACATATTTAAGCGAAGGACCTCTTATTATTAAGGTAAATAATTCTATAAAGTTCCCGACTATGAATAAATTAGATATTACACTAAATCACTAGAATCAGTCTAATGATGAGAAATTAAGATAAATATAGAAAAAACTTTATTTTTATTCATTTCGACTGCTTTAATATTTTCTACAATAAATAAAAATAGATATCGCAACTCTTGATTTGATTTTGATCTTTAAAAAATAATTCAAATGCTAGAGGTTTAAATATTTAAAAGAAAATAAAAATAAGGTATTTATTAGACAAAAAATTGAACCAAAAGGAAAAATGTTGACAATAATATGTTTGAACATAATATTGTAACGCACAGTCTAATGGGAATCTTGAAAATAAAATCATTGGAAAATATTGGCAGTGATATAATGGGCCAAACTTGAAAATTCTCTATTGTCTGCATAATCATCTTTATAAAAAAAAATTAGCTTAAAACTTTTTCAATGTTAAAATAATTATAAGGAATACGAAATTTATTTATGTATAAGGAGAAATTTAGGTGTTATATTATACGTACTTTTGTGTCAAAAAAAATATTATATGTACTTTTAATATTATTCTTTAATTAAAATTAGAATTTCACATTGTTATTGAAGTAAAATTTTAATTTAATTAAAAAAGTATGACAAACATTTATGATTTTGTACCTTAATTTTGTCTTATATGTACTGATAATACGGTACTATATTCATTTAATTTAGCTCACAAACTGATAAATAAATCTTACAACAATTACAATATGAGGCATCGTGAACATTTTCCGATCAACCAACACTGCTTTATTTATGAGAATATACTTTTCCAAATGTAGTTGTCATTTTATGAACAGTAATGTTATCATCTTAATCATCATAATCAAGCAAGAATATATGCAGGGCAGATCCATTACTCTTCGCAATCTCGAAATCTGAATTACATGTTTATATCAATAATTATATATATATATATATGAGGAGAGATTTATTTACTAAGTTTATTTAAATTTACTCCGTTCAATAACTCATGTTTTACATCAAATCTCAACAATCCAACCGTTGAAATTAAAGTTCTTAATACATAGGTTAAGTCTGCAAATTTAAAAAAAAAAATTAAAAATTATTAATATTTCGTTTCATTAATTCAATTTTTTAAAAATAATTTTATGATTATCCGTCAATTTGAATTAATGAAATAAAGTATCAAATGATTTTAAAATTTTTATAAAATTTGCAAGCTATACATTAAATCGTTAAAATTTGATGTAGAACATGAATTATTGAACGAAATAAGTCTAGGTAAACTTAT